GTGTTTGCCCACGTGCTGGCACCAAGGGCTGCTGGTGGCCTCTGAGAAGAAGCCGGTTATCGGCCCCATGCATTGTGACAATGCCGGTTCCAGCGGCACTGCCGCAGTGCAGGGCAGAGCCTGGCAGCCAGGAAGGCGGTGCCTTAGGAGAAAGCATGCTTGGCAAGGACCGCCAAACAGGGCAACCTGCTGCTCAGCAGTGGGGAGTGAGGAGGAGAAAGTGTGAGAAACAGCTGTGCAAAGGCCAAGGTGAGAGTCGGAGCGGGAGGAAGGAGGGGGAGGAAGGCTTTGGGGGGTCAGGACGAGCAAGAGGAGGAGCAGGAGGAGGAACGGGAGGAGGAGCAGGAGGAGGAGGAAGAGCAGGGGGTGGTTCTAGCGCCAGAATCAAAATTCTAATGCAGCGCAACCCTTGGAAGAGAGAACGCCGGCGCGGGTCGATGTGTCCTGAGGGAAGCTGCAGGCCCCAGAGAGCACGCACAAGAGCCTGCAGGGCACCGTGCATGGGTAAAGCAAGGCGTCCTTCACTGCCTGCAGTTCTGGCAGCTTTGGAGTTTCTTTTTAGCAAATGTCCCATCGGAAGAGCCCCTGCAGAGTCTGGGCCTTTGAGCCCTGTTGGTAGGTTGCTGCACGCTCTCTGATGCTGTGGACGCTTGCGCAAGTTTGGCCCGGCATCTTCAGTATTCTGTGTGGCTTTAAGGCATGGAAGGCAAGGCACCGCCTCCCGCATCCCTGCTGACATACTTGCGGACTCGCAGCTGACTTGTATCCCTCACCGAGAAAGAAGGCGCATGTGAAGAAGCATGCACGAGCCATCAGTGCCCCACAGCTTCATACCCCATAAGCACAGTCACGATGCGCAGGCCACCTCTTCTCTCACATTCCCTGCAAAGCACAGGAACAGTCCACCTGGTTGTCTTGAAATGCGCACTCAACCCCTCCCCAAAACTGACACCTAAACCCCTTCCACACCCCAAATTCACAGTTGCAGGACCCTTTGCTTCTGCGTGGTGTCCTGTGGAGCACCTGCTACCACTTGGCCGGTCAGATCGCGAGCACTGCAGCAGGCACAGGTGCCGCTTCTGCTGCTAGCACAGCTCCACAGCGCCACGGCTGCAGCCTGAAGCTCTTCCCAGCCACCAGCTGGAGGCGCTGGGCATACACCGCATGGCAGGGCGGGGAAAGGGCCATTTGCCAAGGGCCGGACTACGCTGCTGAGTGGCCCTCCTGGATTTGGGATGGGCCAGGACAGGCAATCCCTCCCACCACCCTGCAGTGGCGGGCACCATTTTGTTTCATGCCGCATTCTACAGTGAGGAGCCACCATTTTGTGAAAGCGCCCAGCCCACCTGTTGCCGTGCCGCTCCCTGATTGGCTTAGCCAGCTTTGTTTATAAAACCCTGTCATCTTCTCATTCCTCCCTCTGATTGGCTGCCTGCTTCCAGACCGGGAAGGTCTCACGTGTAGGAAATGTTTATGTTTCTCTAGAGCCGTGCTGGGTGTTTGCCCACGTGCTGGCACCAAGGGCTGCTGGTGGCCTCTGAGAAGAAGCCGGTATCGGCCCCATGCATTGTGACAATGCCGGTTCCAGCGGCACTGCCGCAGTGCAGGGCAGAGCCTGGCAGCCAGGAAGGCGGTGCCTTAGGAGAAAGCATGCTTGGCAAGGACCGCCAAACAGGGCAACCTGCTGCTCAGCAGTGGGGAGTGAGGAGGAGAAAGTGTGAGAAACAGCTGTGCAAAGGCCAAGGTGAGAGTCGGAGCGGGAGGAAGGAGGGGGAGGAAGGCTTTGGGGGGTCAGGACGAGCAAGAGGAGGAGCAGGAGGAGGAACGGGAGGAGGAGCAGGAGGAGGAGGAAGAGCAGGGGGTGGTTCTGGCGCCAGAATCAAAATTCTAATGCAGCGCAACCCTTGGAAGAGAGAACGCCGGCGCGGGTCGATGTGTCCTGAGGGAAGCTGCAGGCCCCAGAGAGCACGCACAAGAGCCTGCAGGGCACCGTGCATGGGTAAAGCAAGGCGTCCTTCACTGCCTGCAGTTCTGGCAGCTTTGGAGTTTCTTTTTAGCAAATGTCCCATCGGAAGAGCCCCTGCAGAGTCTGGGCCTTTGAGCCCTGTTGGTAGGTTGCTGCACGCTCTCTGATGCTGTGGACGCTTGCGCAAGTTTGGCCCGGCATCTTCAGTATTCTGTGTGGCTTTAAGGCATGGAAGGCAAGGCACCGCCTCCCGCATCCCTGCTGACATACTTGCGGACTCGCAGCTGACTTGTATCCCTCACCGAGAAAAGAAGGCGCATGTGAAGAAGCATGCACGAGCCATCAGTGCCCCACAGCTTCATACCCCATAAGCACAGTCACGATGCGCAGGCCACCTCTTCTCTCACATTCCCTGCAAAGCACAGGAACAGTCCACCTGGTTGTCTTGAAATGCGCACTCAACCCCTCCCCAAAACTGACACCTAAACCCCTTCCACACCCCAAATTCACAGTTGCAGGACCCTTTGCTTCTGCGTGGTGTCCTGTGGAGCACCTGCTACCACTTGGCCGGTCAGATCGCGAGCACTGCAGCAGGCACAGGTGCCGCTTCTGCTGCTAGCACAGCTCCACAGCGCCACGGCTGCAGCCTGAAGCTCTTCCCAGCCACCAGCTGGAGGCGCTGGGCATACACCGCATGGCAGGGCGGGGAAAGGGCCATTTGCCAAGGGCCGGACTACGCTGCTGAGTGGCCCTCCTGGATTTGGGATGGGCCAGGACAGGCAATCCCTCCCACCACCCTGCAGTGGCGGGCACCATTTTGTTTCATGCCGCATTCTACAGTGAGGAGCCGCCATTTTGTGAAAGCGCCCAGCCCACCTGTTGCCGTGCCGCTCCCTGATTGGCTTAGCCAGCTTTGTTTATAAAACCCTGTCATCTTCTCATTCCTCCCTCTGATTGGCTGCCTGCTTCCAGACCGGGAAGGTCTCACGTGTAGGAAATGTTTATGTTTCTCTAGAGCCGTGCTGGGTGTTGTTGTACACAATAAATGTTTGTTCATTGTCTTTTGTATTATAAAAACAAGGAGTTCTGTTTGAGGAACGGGAGTTGTGAAAACTCCCTGCTGAAGTAAGGAGCTGTATAATTCTTTGCTAGACACCATGAAAATTCTTTTGCTTAATGTAACAAAAAAGAAAAAACCCTCCCCTTCTCTCCTTCTGCGTCTCAGTTGTCTCTTTTGTTTAAAGACACTGCTGCAAAGCTCATGTAACCATCTCCTGATAAGTTGCTAAACTAGTGTATCAACATCCCGCCTTCCTGTCTCACGCTGGGCCAACATGAGCAAATAAAAAAAAAGTTGAACCACAACGCCGAGGAAGACTACGTCCTTCATCTTCACGACCACCAGAGGGACAGAGACGACCCCCTAGCAACAGCGCGTGCAGCCGCAGAATATACCAGGAGGTGCTGCATAATCCTGAAATCACCAAGATATAAAAGGGACCCTGGCGGGGGTGAGGTGCGCGCCGTTGGCGGAGCCGAGACTCCCCGGCCACCCAGCGCTGTTTTGCTTGCTGTTGCTTACTCAATAAATTCCTTTCTATTATTAATGCAATGCTCTCTGAAAATTAATTAAGGGGGCAACTTATAACAAATTTGGTGCCGTGACTCGGGTGAAGGCAATCTGATTGAAAGACCTTCGTAGGGGGCACCCCGCTGATTTCAGCAGCCTTCGCTAGGACTGCTTTCATTCAAATCGTTCACCGACGAACCCTAAATTCGGCAGCAAGCAAATAAAGCCGGCAACCCCTAGTAATCTTTGTGCACGAAGACCGAACGAAGACTCAGGAGTGAGTAAGTATAGGCCGGTGATCCGTTCGGTTGGGGTTGGGTATCCTGGAGCGTAGCGTTGTGAGACATCCAATTGCGGATGAAGTGAGTGCGGACCCCTCGGTAGTGCGGTTCCCACATCCCGTGAGGGACTGGGCCACAAAAAGGGGGAAGCGATTTGTGTGTGTGTGTGTGAAGGCGCTCCAGAAGATGGGACAGAAGAAGAGTAAGCCTTCTGGTCCCATGGGCGGGGTAACGTCTGATGTTAGGTTACCCTGGGATTAATGATTAAAAATTGGGAGGATTCCCCTTTTAGGCAGGGAAGGAATAAAGTAAAAAATGATACATTATTGTGTTGAAGTTTGGGGTGGTAAGCAGATTTGAGGAGACCACCTTTACTGGCCTGTATTTGGGTCCTTTGAAGATTGGGTTTGCCAGGCCCTAAATATTTATGTAAACTCAAAGGAACCTTTTAGTTTGGAAGAAAGTGAATATGCACATTTGTGGATCAGCTCGGAAACTCGAGCCAATTTATATCCTCTAAAAGAAAAAGGAGGGAATGGGAGGCACAAGAAAAACCGAGAATTAGAGATCCCAGCCCCACTGCCTCCCTATATTTCACCACCACCACCTGCAGCCCCTCCGACTCCCGGGCTTCCTAATCCACAATCCCAGGGAGACTCTGATAGCGACTCTGACTCTAGCGTTCAGGGACCAGTGACTAGGAATATGTGGCCATCCCCATTAACTCCGGGGATGTCCGAGATTTTAAGAAAGACAGGAGGAGGGTAAGCGAGCTTTAATGGCAACTGGCATAATGTTTCCAGCTGCTGAGGAATAATTCTAACTGGAATAATAACTGCACATTGTATATTGTATATATAAAAGCCTGGGCATTTTTGTTAAAGTGTTCTTTTATACCTATGTTAATATGTAAATATGTAAATATAAGAACTGCCATTGAGGTGTATGTCTAAGGGAACAAAATTTGCCCAGGCATATTATCGTCTCATCAGGTTTAAATGTTCCCAGTGTAATTGTCTACAGGCAGTTAATTTACAGTGGTCTGATTTTACTTGTGTATCTATATATTGTGGATTTTGGAGGGATTGGGATTGACTAGTAAAGAGCTTCTAGGAAAACGGTGGAATATTAACCACTTTAGATTGCAATAGGAAAAGTTCAAAGCAAAGAAATCCCGAGGAAAAGCCTCCTAGGATGTATACTAACACATTGGAGGGATATAGTGGGGTGAGAGTGTACAGAGAGTAAAAGAACTCTTAGCAAATATTGTAATCAGTGGTGGCCACTTTATAAACTAGAGGATGGAGCGGAGTGGCCCCTAAATGGAAGTATTAATTATAACACCATATTACAGTCAATGTTGTTTTTGTGGAAAGAAGGAAAACAGGATGAAATGTTGTATATTGATGTTGTTTCAGCATCGTGGAGGGAAAAGGTATGGAATTAAGTTGGCCCCTGACTGAGCCTTTGGTGTTGGCATTAGAAAACTACAGGCAGGAGAAAGATAAAAGAAGTGTTAAAAGGTTTGTTGAAAGTGTTAAAGGTATTCAAAGTTGAATGAGCAGGGAAAGGTGATGTAGGCATTGTCTAAGTAACAGTCTAGAAGTTTTGGTATATTTGCGTATTTGCTGTGGTGTTTGTTCAGTTTCCCAAGCATCGGGGAGGGGGGAACAGCCTGCTCCACCAGGGGCCTCTCCAGCGGCTGCAGGGGGGCTTCGGCTCCAGCGCCTATGGGCGCCTCCTCCCCCTCCTTCTGCACTGACTTTGGTGTCTGCGGAGGGGGGGGGGGGGGGGGGGGGGAGGGGGGGCGGGGGGGGGGGGTGTAAATGCCTGAAGTAACTAGGAAAATAAAACTAACATTCACACTTTTAAGGAAAAGGTACAGCATTGAAGAGGCTTTCAGGGTAGGGCATAACTGCATTACCTGAGCGTTCCCTAGGCTCCCAACCTTAGATGCTATCGCGCTGGGGAAACTTGGTGTGCTAGCCCTAAGGAACACCACGGAGCGTGGAGTGGAGTGGAGACACCACGGCTAGGCTCTGTAATCAGGTGGGGCCTCGATTGTTCTTGTGCACAAAGCTGCACTTTTTGCCACCCTAAGCCAAAGACCTGTCATGTTTTGACAAACGCTGTACCCTAGTGTACTTTTTGCTCATTATAATATCATTATAATACCAAAACACACCTCCATCCCAAAAGCTACCCACCTCCAAGGTGCGACCACCCCTCACTGAGCATGCGCTCTGAATTTCTTGGAGCCTATTACTTTAAACGGAGACGGGAACACTTTACACCAATCATAACTAAGATATGCTTGACTAGAGCCACTCAAGCTCCACCTAAAAGACAGAAAATAATATAAATTGGCCCAAGAGAGAGGGGATGTTAGGGAAGATACCATCGTCAGGGGAGATAGCATCCCGAGGAAATACAACATCCTTAGGACCTCCTGACTCCTGGGATCAGTCGACGGGCTGAGCCTCTCTTCCCCCCCCCATTGGGACGCCTTTGGGTGAGATCTGAATATTTGCTTATAAATCTCTATAGAGTCTTTGATCCTTTTAACGCGTTTGTTTCTAGGCTGCGCACCTGTAACACCTGTAACACCTACAACACCTATAACATTGTAGTGGGTTTACGTGGCAAGGTTTTGGTAGCAGGGGGCCATAGGGGTGGTTTCTGTGAGAAAGATCTAGAAGCCACCCCATGTTTGGGAAGGGCCCCGTTGTTTTCCAGATCTGAGCCAATAAGTGATGTTGTTTTGCACCTCTGTGAGAGCATATTTAAGACAGGGATAAAAATGCTGCGTCACACAGCAGCCGGGAGAGTCAAGGGAGTGAGAAACAGCCTTGCAGGTGCCAAGGTCAGTGCAGAAGGAGGGGGAGAGGTGCTCCAGGCGCCGGAGCAGAAGTCCCCTGCGGCCTGTGGTGAGGACCATGGTGAAGCAGGATGTCCCCCTGCAGCCCATGGAGTACCACGGTGGAGCAGAGTTCCACGCTGCAGCCCGTGGAGGAGACCACGCTGGAGCAGGTGGCCCTGCACCGATGGAGGCTGCCGCCTGTGGAAGACCCCTGCCAGAGCAGATTCCGGGCCGGACCTGTAGCCTGTGGAGAGGTGACCACGCAGGAGCAGGTGATCTGGCAGGAGCTGCTGCCCGTAGGGGAGCCAGGTTGGAGCAGTTTTCTCCTGAGGGATGGACCCCGTGGTACGGACCCATATCTGGAGCAGTTCTGGAAGAGCTGCTGCCTGTGGGAAGCCCACGCCGGATCAGTTCGTCAAGGACTGCATCCCGTGGGTGGGACCCCACAGCACAGGGGACGAGAGTGACCAAGAAGGAGCAGCAGAGAAGAAGTGCTGTAGACTGACCATAACCCCCATTCCCCCGTTCCCCTGCGCCGCTCGGGGGGAGGAGGTGGAAGAGGGCGGATGGGGGGAAGGTGCTTTTGGTTTCTTTCCTTTGTTTCTCACTTCTCTAGCTTGTTAGTAATGAGCAATAAATCTTACTATCTGTCTTCTTATGCTGAGTCTGGTTTGCCCGTTACACTAATTATTGCGTGATTTTCTCGTCCTTATCTCAATCCTTGAGCCCCTTTCACATATTTTCTCCCCATTCCTCTTTGAGGAGGGGGAGTGAGAGAGCGGCTGTGGTGGAGCTCGGCTGCCCACTCGAGCGGAACCACGACAAACATCTAAAACATCTATAACACCTATAACATCTGTAACACTTATAACACCTGTATAACATCTATAACATCTATAACACCTGTGTATTTCATGCATACTAGCTTGC